TATAAAAGTAGTGCAAAGTATTGATAACAACTTTTTCTAGTAAGCAATTGAGTCGAATATAAAATTAGTTATAAAAGTAAATTAGTTGAAAATAAGAAATACATACATATATATATAAATTATATACAATAAATGCAAATTGAAATTGTTATAAAATTGTATGTAAGTATGTATATTGCATGTAGAAAGAAATAATATCAAATTAATACCGACAAAAAAAAAAAAACTGATTCAAAGAAACTTTTATTAATGGAAAAATTCAGAAGAGGGAAAGTTTTTTCTTTTGGAAATGGCGAGTATACGTTAGCCGAGGGTATCGCATTCAGTCGGTATCATATGTATGCTTTTTTATATATTTTTTATTAATAGAAGCTGACAGCTTCAAAATAAAAACAAGAAAACACGTTAGTCAGCTTGAATGAGAGTCACATACATATACATCTATACATAAATGTAGTAAATAGTATAGAGGTTCGATCTAAACAATTTGTTCGGAAATTGTGCCGCTACCTTGGGAAATAATTCTTGCGAAATTCCATGAAATTAAAATGTTTCCTACAAGGGCTAGATATGGATTGCTCATTTTGTAAGGCATCTACATGCTACAGTGATCCGATATCAGCGGCCCCGACAGCTTCCTGAGAAGGAAAAGCCGAGTGTAAAACTTCAGATCGATAAGATATCGGTACTAGTTGGGGTATATTTAGAGACCTGGCTAAACCGAGTCAGCTCCCAACGCTGATCATTTTATTTCCAACGTTTCCTTCCGGGTGTTAAAACTTCATGGTAAACATAATATACTTTGTTTAGAGCATAACAAATGGAAAACTGGTGGTAATACGTGTAAGGGCGACTCTAATTCAAGGGTGAGTTAGTAATATTCTATATCGCTTACCTCTTTATGCGCTTCCCACAGAAATGTTTATCATTGCTAAAAATGCGTTTCGAGTTATTTTTTTTAATTTATGACTATTATGTTTTATTGATTTCTTATAAAATTAACAACGTGAATTAAGTCTAATTTTATTTATTTTCTCTTTTTGTTAGTGTTTTTTTTACTCACGCCACCTTTCTTCGAACGCTTTGTGTATGATTTCGAGTTGGAGTGTCGTTTCTCCTCCCACTTCAATTGTTTCGCTGATGATTTATCCTTATTGAAAATTGCTTTCGAAGTGCCCTGTCCTTTTGTCTTACCCGTCTCCTCTAACAGTTCAGCGAAATCATCCGCAGCCGCGAACAATGAACTCATATCTGCAAATGAAACGCGAGCCATTTAATAACGATTTGCAAATACTTTGATTAATTTACTTACCATCACTGTGTTTAAGTTTCTTTGCAAAGCTCTTCTCATTCAAAGCTAGTGTGCGTTTTTGCGATTTTTTGCCCTTCGAAGCAGCAAAACCGCTATCGTCACCATCTTCATCCTCTGATCCACTCATGTTCTCCGGCATGCTGTCAACTTCTTCCTCTTCACTAAGATCAGCTGGAGCATCCTCATCGTCTAGTGAAATTGAACCATCGTCATCATCATCATCTTCGTCATAATTTTCATTAATTGAACCGTCCTCATCGTCAGATGTATCATTACCGCCGGCGAAATCAGTTTCTTCAATATCATCATCACCCCAATCCGCGTCAATGTCTTCCACTGCATCGTCATCGTCATCTTTGTTTGCGCCCTTCTTCTTTTTCTTGCTTTTGTCTTGTGACTTCAATTCGCCACCCAATTCCTTTAAGAAGTCCAGCTCTTCTTCTTCAGCATCCTCAGCGTCTGCTGCCGCTTTCGCTTTCTTGCCAAAGTAACTGCCAAGATATTCCTCAAATTCATCATCGCCCACTTCGCCTTCCTTTAGTAGCTCATCATCATCCTCGTTCTCAACATCATCTGGTTTCTTCTTGATTTTATTCGTTGCTGCTTGTGCGCGTTTTTGTTCAAGGAAATTGAAAATGTACATCTCGTCCTCAGTGCAGTTCGACTTCGTCAAACTTTTTATTGGTTTACCACGCGTTCCGAACGCCACATAGCGCTTATGCGATATTACAGGCGCCTCATCCTTTTGGTTATCCAACTTTTTGGGGTTTTTGAAGGCAAAACGTTCCAGAAAATGTGGTAAACCGAAATCCCGAAGAGGATCGCCATAATAGTCGATTCTCTTTTCTGCAATTGTAAATCAAAAAAAAAAATTACTAAAATTTTTCATATACATTTTTGGTTTGAAGTGGACACCTACGGTTCAGTATATTATCGGCGAATACTTGTATTGTGGGATGGTAATGTTCGCGCAACAGCAATAATTCATCCCGTAATGCAAACTCTGCGCCGGCAAAAGCAGGCGCCCGGTGATATGGATCATATTTGTTGGGTGCCATATCACGTACTTTTTGTTCAGAAGCTGTTGAAGTCACTTTTGCGTGATGCCACGACGAAGTCGTCGAAGGATTTTCCTCAGCTTCGTCGATTTTAGTTTTTTCTACAGCTTCTTCTTCATCGCGAATATCCTCATACTTTTCCTCACCATCGCTATCAAATTTGGACAATTCCGCATCAGTAGCTTGAACTTGAAGAGCTTTTGGCAAATCACTGACGGATTTTCCGTCATTACCAAAATGACTTATGCCGCCGGTCAACTCCTTACGGCTGCGCAGCAATTTATGTACAACAATTAGGCAACCAGCAGCTGTGTTTGCTGGCATATAGAGCGCACATTGTAGCAAACGCTTGATAAACGCTTGTGCACGAGGCAAATTCGAGTCTATATGTATGGCGCGATGAATGATATGCAGTAATTGTGCGGCGGTTTTAACACCAATATTCACTAATTCCAAGTCATTCATTTTCTTATAGAGTGCATTGTAGAAACGGTCTGACTTTTCGGTTTTCACAGTCAGCAATTGTAAAAGTAAACCCAACGTCTGTACTGCAACGTGTATGTCTGCTAAATGCACCAGACGATAGATGGTATCTTGCATATCCTTGCTGAGTATTTCCGTTGAGCCTTCTCCGGGTTTTGCCTCTATTATGGCCTTTTGTAAGCAACGTAAAATTGCTTGCATGGTACGGTTATTTACAGCGCCCTTCTTAACAAGCACTTTGAATAGCGCGAAACACACGTTTACTAATTTCGAGCAAACTTCAGGCCGACCTGCCGGTGCAATACTGGCCAGAAAGCAAAGTGCAAAATGTTGTGCACGATCAGAAATGTTGTTGCGGAAAAGCAGCTTCTCAGATTCGGCAACAATTACACCGCACATATTGGGATGTCGATGGGCAACTTCTGTAAGATGATGCAATGCTTTAGAGGCGATTTTAGCAGTGGGATCACCCAGTTTATTGATCAGCAATGTTAGTAGCATTTGTTCTTTTTCTGGTGCGAAAGATAACAATTGCGATGCCGCTACAATGCCTGCATTCTTATTATGTTCTTGACCCGTTTGTAATGCCTGCTGCAGATTTTTTAGAAACTCTAAAAATGTGATATTGTAATATTAACTCAATTTTATTTTGTATGTGCTTACCAAAATAGTGTTCTTTTAACTCATTCTCGAAGTGCCAGTAAGCATATATACGTTGTTGTTTCTCTTTGCTTAATTCTGTATTTTTGCGCAGCAATTTCCAGTCAGCACCACGCATTTGTAGTGATAAAAGTTTTCGATGCGGCGGCAGCAAAACTTTTTTCCACAAATCAACTAATATAGTCACCACTTCGTTTGATGATTTATTCGACATTTTGGTAAAACCAATTAAAATACCCAGCGCCTCCAAATTTCCTAAGGGATTACTTGTGACTAACAGGGCACCGGCATTGGCTCGATCTTTGGCTGTACCTTTACGTAGAGCAGTTTGCAACCAACGCGCATCTGAGGCATTATCTATTGAAGGGTAAAATATTTGTATTATTTTCGGTACTTTAAAAGAATAAGATTATTTACGTTTTAAAAATGTTGGCATTTCAGCATCGAAAGCGTTCTGGCATATGTTGTGTAATTCCAATTGTTCTTGATCTTTCATGTCCAGCACCTCCTCTGAGGAAGGATAATCAGGAAACTACATAATAAATCAACTGTATATTCAAGTTTATACGTAGTTTTACAGAAGTTCATTTAATAATTACCACATGGAACCACTTTTTATTTGTGTCCAACTCGTCTTTTTCATCTTTCTTTTTTTGACGCTGCTTTTCGCGTTTGGCAAAGTAATCATTCTCGTCTTCCGCCGCTTCAAGTACTTCTTGCGCTCCTTCATCTTCAGATTTTATATCTGGATCCGAATCAACTACTTTAAACTTTTTCTTCTTTTCCTTTCTTTCGGCATTTAGTTTTTTTACAGCGGTCTCATCCAAGACTTCTCCATCATCGCCAAATACAATTTTTTTATTTTTTGGTTGCGTCGTGATACTGATTACAGAGCCTGTGTTTGGCGCCATTTGTTAATTATTAATCAAATTTTTTAATTATAAATTTTTTAAATAGAAACTTTTCAAAAAATTATTCACTATTTACGCGTATAATACAAAACAGAAATTAATACACGTGCAATGAAGCTAAATGTCAAAATAGGGACAGTGTGTCATTTTCTCATTTCGATAGAGGGATCTTTTTTTATGTGCAATTATGGAAGAAGGATTTTAGGTATTGCATACTTATTTACGAATTTTTTATTTTATTATTATAAATGCGATAGCAAAATATGATTTTTTAATACAAAAAACGTATATAAAAATTTCTAATACCGATTTATTTGGGGGCATTTTGTACCAATGTTTGTGGTTTGAGATTCGTAATTAGGAATTAACTGGGATATTAAATACATTGTCATCATTTTAGTTATGCGTTTCGTATATTTATAAATAAATCGGAATTTAAAAAAATTATTATTAAAAATTTCGAACTGGAAAGGTGGAGAAGCGAACGTCACAAAAGTGTCGGTATGTAGTAAGAAAAAATGCAACCCTACAAAACCGCAAAAATGTTAGTATAACAACAGAAAAGTGGAAAAACAACTATATGCAGTTATATTTTTTCGGATTTAGATGTGTGTTTCTATAAATGTTGAGTGCTGTTTTACTGTATAAAAGTTAAAGTTTAATCTATCATTAAATATCGGTTTGTAAATTAAAAGCATATAGCACAATAGTCGTATATAATCAAATATATAGAGAGTTAAAACAATTTATCGGAAATGAATGAAGCAGCATTGGCCAGCATGATTTACAACGACCCCATAGGTATCTATGAGCAGCCCAGGTAAATTGTTTAAAAACTTAAAAAAAAATGTATATATACAGTTTGTTAATATAATGTTATATTTAAAGGCCGCGTTTCATATTTAAAATGCCGCGTGTTGTGCCCGACCAAAAGGCAAAATTTGAAAGCGATGAACTATTCCGTCGCTTAAGCCGGGAAAGTGAAATCCGTTATACAGGATATCGCGAACGTGCTCAAGAGGAACGCCAAATGCGGTTCCACAATGGTTGTCGTGAGGGTCATACTGAAATATCATTTGTGGCATCGGGTACGAATCTACAACTGGTTTTTAACGCAACCCAAAACCCATATTTACATGATAAGGAATGCGATTTTGATAAAGAGCATGGAAAGGTTTATATAAAATCGTACTTTATAATGAACGGAGTGTGTGTGCGTTTTCGTGGTTGGCTAGATTTGGAACGTTTGGATGGATCGGGCTGCCTAGAGTTCGATGAACGACGTGCAATGCACGAAGATCAAATATTACGCGAACAAATCGAACGATATAATTTGAGGCTTCGCGAATTCGAGGATTCCAAACGAGCATATCGTGATAGCCGACCAGAAGTTGATATGGAAGCTGTACGCCGCGGTGTACCCTCAGGTGGTATTGGCGTTGGTGCCAGTATGTGGAGACGTTAATTTTGGGGAGAAAAATAAAACGGGGTAAACTTTAGAATAGAATTACTCTAATTCGGTGTAAAGGCTGATAGAGAAGATATTTCTGTTTAATTTCTTCTAAATCGTTTGCAAAATAAATAAAGAAATGTTCACTGTACAAGTGTAAGATTTATTATAAACAGAAAAGTTACATATTTTAATTTGTAAAATCGAGAACATCCTTTATCAGCACTTATTTGTATTAACGCCGAATTTCTATTCTAAAAAAAGCTATTTAGTTTATTATTTAATTATGAGAGTAAATGATGGGGGATTTTCTCAAAATTAAGTATTATTTTATGCAAAATATGTATTACGTCCAATACTCATAATTGTATTAATTTTATATCAATTAAATGTCCACCTGGAAAAAATGTTTTACTATACTCCTTGTGTTTTACTGACCGGTTGGCGAATATACATCAGACTACAACTATAAGAAACATAAGGTTATTACATCGTTATAACAAAGGTTTTGTTAATCTACGAGCTTTGGAGAATACAAGAAAATGCAAACTGCTTTTTCGGTCGTCAATTACCTTCTGTATACATATATATATAGTCCCCAGTTTTTGCGATACCGATCTGAAATTTTGCGCACATCTTTATCAAATTTTAACCATAATTCGAAGGATCTCTTCTATCAACGTAGTCATAGTCGAAATTATTTTGCTAGAAAACCCTATTCACATTCATTATATAAATTTTCTCACGTGTGGTTAAATAAGTTTGCGGTTGAACAGTTACAACAATGACAACGGTAAATTAGAGCTTACACTGAAAAATATTACCTTTATTATTTTAAGAATCAAGTTATATTTTCAAATGATCGTAATTCTATTGAACATTTTTTATGGTTAGGTCCATTTGAATGACATGTTTGGGATAACATGGGATACATAGATGATACATAATATAATATAATCGGCAAACACGTTTTCGTAATATAGATTTGTGTAAAATTATCAACTAAACTTATTGAATTGATTGCCTGCAATTGACATTCCGCTTAAAGCCACAATAGGCAATCTATCCACAAATAACTTTTTGCTAACATTTAACGAAATTGCAAATTCGATATACGTAAGCCAATACTATCTTTGCCGATTTGACTCACTTCGCAGACCGTACACAGGTTACCCTTATATTGTGTATCGAAAGCAGCACTACAGAAGGGACATGTCACTTCTGGCTTGCCACGATACAGCGGTTTATAGCTTATGCCACAAATATTAAATGGATTGAATTCTTCATATTGCAGTTGGTGTTCATCAACGGGATTGACTTCGCATGCTTGTAATATTTTGCGCACTTGTTGCGCCACTTCTGGACGTGGTCCCAGCTCCAGCAATCGACGTGCAAAGGATGCAGCGGTCTTATAGTTCTTGAGTTTGAAGAACATATTCAATGCTGTGCGCAACGTAAGAATCTGGTGGACAGGTTGTAGTTTGCAGTGTGTAAAGTAAGCCGCCATTTCGCAAAGTCGCTTCTGCTCCTCCAACGTAGATTTTGGCATACCTTTGCGTTCGGTCTCCATCTTTAAACCGAGTATGTATTCCGAACAGATTTTCAACAATTGCTGAGTTTCCGCAATATCTTGCTTCGCTTCCACCACCAACAGTGGGATGTGCAGTAATATGGAATGGAATTTCTCTATAGCTTCGGTGAATTTGCCGCCTGTAGTTAATTGGTAACCGGCCTGCAAACGCTGCACCAAATCATTTAATTTTACACCCAAAGCTGGACGTTGATTCTTAGGATTGGTCTCGCCGCTGTTCCGCAGTGGATATGCGGTTAATGATTGCAAATTAGGCAAAGCTGTAAAACTGGTGCGTGCACATGTGTAATTCTGCAAAAAGAGTGTTTTGAATGGCTTGAAGTTAATAACACCTAATTGGTCGTTTAGTAAGCGGAAGGCCGATTCAAATGAACCAGACTTAACGTGGTCCAATACAAGTGGTGAATGGTTAGCCCAATGTTGTGCGGCCGAAAGTCCTTTATTTGGTGCAGCATAGAAACCGTTGTCCAAAGCTGAAGCTTTAATTTTCGATGCAAGTTCTTCGGGTACCACCAAATCATCATCGCCAACATCCCAGCCGGCGCCTTCATCGCCCACGCCCTCAGCGCCGGGTTCATCTAAAGCATCATGCATTTCATCATCACCATCGTCACCGAGACCCAAATCAGCATCAGCGCCCCAGCCGTCACCTGCGCCAACATCATCCAAGACAGCGGCGTCGGCATTCGCGTTAAGCGCTTGTCTAGCTGTGGCACTGGTACCAGCGCGCGTTATCATTGCACCCTCAAAGAAGCCCTTTGAGACTGTCAACAATGGCCAGTTGCTTTCTACTTGCTGTATAGGCACCGGCGGCTGTAATAATGTCGCATTTGGGTTGACAACAGGCAACTCATTGCCCTCCTGTGTGATAACATTTTCCAATTGCTCTGCTTGTTCTTGTAAACCATGAGTTGCTGCCGTGAGGTAGGCCAATGACAGTTGTCCACAATTTTTCAGTATGCTTACACGTTCCTTAACATCGCCTAAAAGCAAGGCACCCTGGTACTGAGCTGACACATCTTTGCGGATTTCTGCGATCTTATTCATTTTCTTAAGCTTTTCCAGATTACCCGTGATTAAATAGAGGAAGCTGAGCTTATCAAAGTTCTTTGTGCGTTGGTAGCACATTTCGACCACTTGATGATTTCCCTAAAATAATTGGATATAATAATTTTATTGTATGCATATATGTATGTACGCATATAATTTATAAATTTGTATCTTTACCTGCAGCAATGCAGCTTGACCTAAACGATCCCAGCAGTCTTTGTCGTCTAGTGCCTTGGCAGCTTCCAAAGCGATTTCGATATTACCACATTCTAAAGCCAGTCCGAAGCGGGTTTTCTCATCTTTTACGAAATGTAGCGCAACTTCGGGATATCCCTTTTGCTGCAGATAGGCAATGATGCTCTGACCCACCAGTCGTGCATTGCGGACCATATGCAAAACTTCGTCGTATTTACGATTAATGAGCGCCAACTTGAATTTGTACTCCGTTGAATCGATGTGTAGTACACGTGTGCGGCACTCGCGATCCAGACAGAACACCTGATTGCCTTTAACACGTGTTAAATAAATAGGCAAGTCGAGGGTGCGAATAATACCATGATCGCCGTTGGTAATGGCGTATTTTATGTGATTGCTTGTAGTGTAAATAAATACACCCGAATCATCCCAAGCGCCAGACTTGACGCGACAATTCTCCTGAATTGTGCACAAATATTGCAAACGACGGTCGCAAATAGTCACAGAGTGTTTGCAGAGCAACGCCACCAATGACATGTCAGCGGACCACACAACATAACGACACTTAGCCAATTTAATGCAGCCCACGGATACTAAACGTTGTACTTCATAGAGCGTAACATATTCTGGGTCTCGTATCAACAACATGCCTGTACCAGCGTAAAATATCTCTTCACAGAAAGTTGGAATTTTTTTAGTAACTTCATTTTTGAAGTTCTTAATTACCAACTGTTGATTACGATCGAGTACAGCGAAACGATTGCGCGCTACCCAGATAGCGGTGATGCCAGATGAACGTTTTGATTCGGTCTCATTCTGAGATTCAGAATCTTTAGGTATTTGATATAAATCGTAGGTGCTATTTTCTAGATTGTTGGTGCGTGTGCAAATAAGCACGGCATTCAGTGCAGGGTTATAAGACATGCTGTGTACTGGTGATTTAGCACCTCCACGCAATTGCATTACAACGGTGTCTTTGGTAGTTGTGAAATCAAGTTTGCGTAGGAAACGGTCCTTCACATAATAAAGTAAGTTACCATGAACAGCGTAGGCGGGACGTTCACGTTCCAATTTGAATACCAACATTCCTAGAAAGAAAAAATATTTTTGTAATTGTGCGCTTAATAATAAATTGTTATATTTAGTGTACGAACCGCCATCATGGCCAGCAGCAAACAGATTTAATGTGGGATGAGCAGTGAGTATCCAAAAGCGTTCACCGTCTCGTCGGAAAGTATACAAGCATTGCCGCTTTGTCATATCCCATACTCGAATGCTACGATCTTCTCCGTTCGAAAGTATTACGTCTTGCCTAGGATGGAATAATACACAGGAAACATTGTTGTAGTGACCTCGGCATGTATCGACTTCCCAAGCTTTATATTCGTTCATACGCCACAACTTGACAAGACGATCGTCAGCGCCTGACACAATGAGTGGCAAAGTGGGATGGAAACTTGCCCAATTCACGCCACGGTCGTGACCCTCAAGCACATGTTTAACAACAGCGTCAGCTTGTCCAAAGAGATCGGTTGCACCAGGATGACCTTTTAAATGGTCTTCCAATCCACCGGGCCCAGGTGCAACATTTTTCTTACGTAGCCCGGAAATATCCCACACTCGTACAGTTTGATCCAAAGAAGCGGAGACTATTTGATCTTCTGTCGGATGGAACTGAGCACTCATTACATAATGATTATGTCCAGTAAGCACACAAATGCAATTTCTGGATTGCCAGTTCCAAATACGAATCGTTTGATCATCTGACGAACTTAATATCCATGGATATTCATGATGGAATGCAACTGTACGTACGTAGTCCAAATGAGCCAAGAGAGTGAAAATACAGCGACGTTGTTTGTAATTCCATACTTTAATTTTATAATCATCGCCTCCGGATACAAAGAGTGGCATTTGTTGATGGAAGGCGACACTTCGAACTGGTCCATCATGCTCATCGAATTTTTCAAGCAGTGTGTGCATGCGGTAATCCCAGAGTTGAATTACACCAGTGTGTAAACTGGCAAGAATCCATGGTCGTTTCGGGTGGAAGGATAAGCCCTTAACACGTGCTGACTTTGATTCAAAGTTGGTCAGCATTTTGGAATATATCAATCGTACCGAACTTTTCGATGCTTTGATGGGTAGAATTCACTACTCTTGTGTTACTTGCTGAGCTGTCGAAATTGTGTTTTTGATTTTATCGTAAATATAACTACTTAAAGCTCCAAACTATTAGATTCGTGTAGCAATTAAGTACAGTAATGTTTAGAGTCGCAAGTGATTCCACTAAAATACTTAATACTTGGTAAAATTACAAAAATTATTGGAATATGTGCAAAATTCTACCTTTGCTGAAAAAGTGACACGTCAAGTTAATTATCGTCTACTACTCAACGTTTTACATCTATTACAATATTTCACGAATCAGCTGTAAGAAAAAATTTAGCGTACTGTTTTTGTTTTTATTTAAGAAATAATATTTTATTTTTGAACATAAATTAGTTTACATTACGTATTTGTTAATGATCGAAAATGACTACATGTTGTTATAAAGTTAAACTAATTAAATTTTATCAAAAATTATAGTTGAAGAAAAGCTATTCGAACTGATATTAAATTTGAATTGGCAACTCTTTGAAATTATTTTTGTTTTGTTTCTGCCGGATAAGTTTACATTTTTCATTCTGATTCTCAACAATTATTCTGATCAATTGAAAAATAATCTCAGTGCTGAACATATTATTAAATATATGATAATGCTGGCAATTAACGTATAATAAAACGTAATAATGACTTTAGCGCATCGTGCATTGTTTACTTGGTTCATTGTGTTAGTCTTCCTCATTTTGCTATGTCTCCGATTGGATCCACGAACACACTGGAGCTGGTTTGTTACTTTCATTCCGCTTTGGGTATTTGACGGAATATTAATCATTTATGTGGTTATTAAAATCATACGCAAATGGAGAAATTTAAAACGACTCAAGGAGTTGCTCATATATTACCAATGGTACATTTGTGGTGTGCTGCTGAAAATCGCTTCTCAGCTTATGATTTGTTTGCGATTAGAATACCCGCAGTGGGAGATATCAATATTTGTGACAATGATACCCATATGGATACTGCTTTCTGCGTCAATTGTTTACGTGTTTGGTCGACTGAACAAAATTGAATCTTGGTGAAAATTACACTTTTATTTTTATACAATCTATTTGTTTGAAAAATGTAAATTAACACATTTATGTACTAAATATAGTTAAGAATTAAAGAATACACTCTAAAAGCCGTATTTGCTTTGAGTTGCCTTCCGATTTTGACGATTCGCAGACCACATTGCTTGTAATTCAGCTTCGTTGGCTTTCGCTTTGTGTGCCAGATAGGTAATTTGATGTTTTCGCCTAGTACCAGCTACTGGTTCTTCATCAACTAAAACACCAGTTGGTTGGTACGCAGTAGAAGACGCTAAAGCTGTACGCATCCATTCTTCTCTACTTGGTAGTACTTCGGCGCTTGAGATATCCACAACCTGTATGTTTTCTTCTCTTTTTCTTCGTTTGGAACTACTACCTGTTAGTGCTTGCAAAGCAGTCTTATCCAAAACAGGCTGCTCAGTTCGTTTTTCTGCCAAACGTCTCTCGTTTTCTACTTCTACATTTTCTTCAGATTGTTTGTTTTCTGGAAATTTTCTTAAGAATTGTGTTGTTACGTTTGCCATTTTAACAGCACGTTCCGCGACCATAGCATTAATTTCGTTCATGCTAACTTCAGGTAGTTTGTCTTCGGAATTGAGGGAAAAGAAGTCGCCTGGTTCATCGCCACTGTCGTCACTGTCACTGCAGTTGACCAATGATTTTTTTGCTTTATCGGTCGGTTTCTGCTTCTTTATTGGCTTTTTTATACCATCAACACCTTCGGTATTACATGCGGGACGTCGAGTTTTTACAGCATCCGGAATAAATGGGTTGTTTGTAAGTGATGGATTTTTTTTCATCTGATGTGGAATATCATTTGACGCGATGCTAGGAGCAGCCTTCGCAAAATTCTGCTCTGACTTCGCTTGTGGTAGCATGCTTAATAAACTAGACTTTTTTTGTCCTTCGGGTAAATGTTTGCTTTTCCCTTTGCTAGTAATATCTTTTTCAACGTCACTAAAATCTTTCAACGATGGAATTGTAATTTTAACAGGACCTTTACTGGGTGCTACATGCACAGGTTTGGGTTTAACTTCTTCAGACGGTGCTACCGCCTTTTTATGTAAAAATTCATCGTCTTCTTCTTCGATAGTTGCATTATTTTCAACGGTATTTTTGGGTAATGGAAGTTTTGCAAATATTGGCGTAACGTCCAACTCTTCTACTGGTGCTATAACTTCAATTATATTTTTTGGTTGGGGCAATAAAAGACTTTGGGATATTTTACTCTTTGAAATTGCTGTATATTCGGTTGGTGCATAATCATCTTCGTCATCGCTTATTGTGCCTGTGCCGAGATTACCATTGACTACTGGTGTCACCGGTACAACTCCTCCATTGGTTTTAGTGTTGGAAAAGGAAACTCCTTCTTCTTCGGAATGGTCAGAATCCTCATCACTGCTGGCCGCGTATGCAACTAAAGACATTTCTGAACAAATAAAAAATATTATAATTGCAAAAATTTATACAAAGCAATTAACAAAGAACAAATTGTTTACAACGAAAAATTTTAGCAGATTGAACAGCTGGTTGTTCATGTATACAGATTTGCATTTTTAAAATGTGTCTGCGCACCATTAGTAATAAAAAACAATACTAAATAATTATTTAAATCTATATAGTATAAACTTATAATCGAAATCTTTAGAACATATACCAATGCTTTCCATGAATTATTGAAATTCAATATAAGTAACAAAACTAAAACTTTCATAGAAATAAATTTAGATTAAAAAGTTTAAAAGTGGAAACACATTATAACTTTGTCCATTACTCAAGTTCTTAATTACCAAATTTATAACATTCATTGACTTCAAAACGGAAAAGGAAGTTGTTAACTACTAGTACTGACGGATTTTATTATACTTCAAATGTCTAATTCATGGGTTTTCATTTCTATAATTTATGTTTTCTTGATTAAAAGGGTTGGTTTGTCCACATAAAAGATGTTTTGTGTTCTCTATTTTTCTTATTATCTGCAAAAGCAGTCACTAACAATTTTGCATATGTTTGAATGTGTGTGTCAATCGATTTACAGGAAGCTGCAAACATCACGAAGATGACTTCGTTAGAAAACAACCACCGCAATAGTGTCTGTCTATATAGTCAACAGCATTGCCTATATTACCATCCACCGCCCTTCGTACAGCCAAAAAACATTTAGTTTCGTTACCAGCAATTTGCCACTTTTGGCGAGCTACCGACTGACCGACCGTTTCAGTCATTTTCGAACATGAGCGCCGTGGGTTTCAATAAAAATAAACGCGCCGGGCCGGTTGTTGTCTAAACACAAAAAGAAAAATACAAATAAGAGTAAAATAAAATATGTATTTAAAATACAAAATAAAAAGAAAGTGAAAATATAGCGTATATGAAATTTGTGTTTGAACAAAATTTTTGAACGATTAACACTAAAAATAGACCAAACGGTTGTCTATTTATTACGTGTATAAGGGATTTGCAGTGCGGCGCTTTGTGGAAATAGCAACAACACCAATTTATACATACATTTACAAATGCATACATATGTATTATACATACATACATACAAAATTTGTGCTAACAAAAAATTGAATTTAATGAACTTGTGTCATTTATATATGTATATTTAGTTGATCAGATTGAAAATCTTAAAAACGCTATTATATAGATATATGTAAATTAAGTAAAGAAGAAACACATTATTCAAAAATAAATACTTATACATATAATTCTCAAAATGACCACATCGAATACGATTGTTTTGAAGAGTCTTTCCATACTGCTCGGATTATTCTTCATCTTTGTGGGATTACTTAAGTTGACACCAGCTATTAGCAAGGATTTGTTCAAGGACTTGGTAAGAATTGAATGAAATTTAGTTAAGTTTAGTTACACATATGTATGTATGTGTACTCTTAGAATGTATATAGGTGAAACCATGTATCTTTTCTTAAATGAAAAATCAATGATTCTGTTGATACATAAAGCCTCCATAATATATACCTACATATGTATGTCTTACATGTGTTTATGTATATTTGAGAGATACTTATGTATGACTATGTATGCTTATCGATGTACACATAAACTTGCTGTATATTGCATATGCAATCCATAAGGATGTACAAGGAATTATTGATTTTTACTGTTTGAATGCCTTCCCAAAATTAAAGGCAGGATATTTGGGTTTGATTAATTAAATTAATTAACTTTGAAACTAAAATACTCCTCACGATGAAAGGTTTCCATACAAGAACTTGATTTTGATCGTAAATATATGCGATATTGGCCGTACCGAAAACTGAGGTACTAGGTCCCGTTGTTGTTGTTGTAGCGGCAGAATTCTGCCTAGTTGGGGCGCATATATACAGACGGACAGACTGACAGGCGGAAAGAAAAATGGATATAGCAAAGGTACGAGGATTCAAGTGTGACTATTTATCATTACCATCGTACCTTTCCATTGCAAAACAACTTTATAATTAACTTATCTTGCGGACGCATTTGAAAAATTCCCAGTGGATGATTTATGAGTTTTTAGGAATGTAAATAATAAAGCATTTTTCCGCCATTTTCTACATATTCCATATGAGAGTTGTATACTATTTCTTGATCGTAAACGGAAATTGAGAAAACACTAGTTATGATTACAAAGGTTTTGAGAAAAAATTTCGTAAATGGCTTTTGCGATTTGCCTATTATGTCATATTTTATAAATATATTTCTGCTTTATTGAGCGATAAGTGAATATTCATCAATGTATTCGAATGAGTTAGAAATTTTCGCTCGTCAATCGCGAATCCTCTTCTGTTTAATTTATTGCTCATTTCCATATTCCAATAATCCCTATTATTGATCATAAAATACATCTTCCAGCTGAGCATATACTCAATCATTTATTTATTTACCTAGTTCGAGGCACTTGAAAATTTCTAAGTAGCCAAAATCATGTAGTACACCGAAATTAATTTATGCTATTGAACTCATGAAGCGCTCAACGTAATTGTACAATTAATTTTCTGTGTAAACAAAGTTTTATTGAAACACTTTTACTTGGTGGCACAAAATAAAGCAAATAAACATTTTTTTTCGTAAAATAAACACTATCGAAGAAAATGGAAAAATGGCAAAACAGTATGCAGTCAGTATGTACAATATATATTTCGCATCAAATATTGTGTATGGTTTATAATGAAGGTGAAAATTGAAATTTTTATTGCTGTTAATACTTACATATATCACATTTAAGTACGAACGAATAATTTTAAAGATATTTCAAAATCTGAATACAAAAACCGCATAAAACTTATTTATTACTTATAGTTTATTTATTTATAAAATAAGTAGGGATGTGCACAAACATGTTTCTGAGTGGTGTATGTGGAGGAAGAAAACCGCTCATCTTCTTCTGCCTTTGACAGCTGCCTCATTGATATTTTACGCTCAAAATTGTGACGCTGGTCCATGACGTGCATACACATACATATGTATGTATGTATACAATTTTATAGTATAAACAAAATACATATTTTTCTGAAAAAATAACTTAATGCATAAAAAATATGATGTACAACATATTTTCTTCGTTTGAGTTTTCAAAAACTGTTCTTGCAAATTATGAAAGGTTTTTATAGCCCCCGAAACAATGCTGTCCTCATAGATTCGAAATCGAGGTCATTATCATGACGCCTCTCTTCTACATTGTAAAAAAAATTGTAAACATACACTTATGCACGTATGTATGTATGTGTCAGTAGTGTCAGTATACATGTCTGAATTTATATGCATACTTCCGATTTTACTTGCTGAAACAAAAGTATTTCCTCAAGCACAAGTAACAACACATGGCATACATTTAAAACATATTTTAAAGATGTGAAATATTTGTTCAAATACACAAAACAGATACTCTCATAGATATAAATATGTCATACATATAAAGGTATATGTAAAAGAGAAAACATTCTTAACGTAAATATATATTTACATATAAAAAGTGCAATAATTTGTAAATATATTCGTATGCCTCCATATCATAGAAGTAGAAAATATTTTGTTTTGAACTTGAAATTTTGATGGTCTTTTGCAATGCCAATTTTTACAGTGTGAAAGCGAAAAGCGCTAATAAATTTCATAATAAAATTTTTTTTACCACATATCTACAAACATATGTATGTATGCAGACTTAAATCGTAAATACATGTGTATAGGCAAAAACAATTTTGAACAAAAACCATATACAAAAATATTTTGTTTGCTCTCTTTGATATATTTTACTACATAAATTTTAACACCAGATATTCTTAAGCCCTTTCTAAGCACATTCGCCCATGAAACAAATATTTATATACAAGTTATTTCTAAAACTTAAAATATAGGTACGTATACTTTTGTACTGAGTAAAATGATTGTAAATACAAATTGTTGAAACAAAGTTGGACATTTTTTAAATAATAAAATTTCACCTTTTATTTATACCTTGGACAGAGTATATTAAGTTTGCTTCGAAGTATTTAACGCCCAGAAGGAAATGTTGAAAATGATAAACATGTCGTGCTGAGCCGGTTTAGCAATGTCCGTCTGTATATAAGCAAACTAGTCTCTCAGTTTTTGATATATATTTCTGAAATTTTACATACGAAGCATCTACATTTCCCTAAGAAGCTGCTAGCGTTAGCGTTTTTTTCTTTCTCTTGAGAAAGTTTAATAGACTTTCAAATAGTTAACACAAAGTTTGAAATGTATTAAATAATCTATATATACATGTATGCATGTATATATATATATTTTTTTTTAATATTTTAGGTTATTGGTAAAATTGTATTGTATTTGTTTATATTTTACAGCGAACAGAATATGTTAAATATGCCAAAGTTTTTCCACTGGCCACAATGTTTGGCTTCAAAGTGCCCTCGAAGTGGTATCGTCGAACTGTTGGTATTCTGGAGATAACTTGCGGGCTGGCTATGGCACTTATTCCATATCGTAAGTTAAAAATTAATGAATATTTACATATTGACTTATCGAAACTTTGTAAATAATCAAATAACATTTTAAATAAATAAATAATTAAAATTGCAGATAAAGTAAAAAATGCTGCCAATGTAACTCTGTTGCTATTAATGATTTTGGGTGTCTATCAACACTGGATGGTCAGTGATCCATTCGAACGATCTGGACCGGCGCTTGTATTTACATTCATGCTAGGCGGACGACTTGTTGTATGGTATCAGGTATATAAAACTCAAATAAAAAAAATTAAATTGATTTCTACAACATTATTACAATTACAATTACAGACAAGTCGGAAAGACAGTGAATTAGCAGCTGCCACACAACCACAAACGAATGGCGTAAAACAGGATTAAGAACTCAATAAGACATCGTAGAAAGCAGATATTCACAATCATCCCATTTTAATAAAATATAACGCATAATTATCTATGAGAAAAAAATGTCTCGCACATCACATCCCATCACATCAGACATAAGATAAACATACATACATACATCAAAGCAATCAATTCAATTACAACAATGATTAAAGTGACAAACCTCAAAATCTATTCATAACATCATACATCTAAAAATCTCTAATTCAACATTCTCATAACTGCACAATCACCATTTTGTATGATAAATTACTGTTTATTTGAAATTAAAATTAAAACCCGTTGTAAATCCAAAAGTCTACCATAAAATGTGCTCAACACACTGTCAGTAAATATATACACATAATTATCATATAATGAACGTTTTTAACCGCACGATTTAATGCATATTAAAATAAACTAATTCATAAATGTGATGTAGTGGAACTTCATTTATCATTTCAAATTTTATTCAACGATTTTTGTTTTCAGATGAAATTCGCACGCAATTTTAATAAAAATTTCAAACTGAAAACCATTTTTTGTTGATAGTGTGAATCTATTTGCTGTAAGTACACTAAAAATTAGTAAAATTTGTCCAAATGCGATGGTATGGACGCTCCTCTATAAATCTATGTAGCAGAAATGCATTCAATAGTTTATTTAACTTCGTTTTGCTTACATCCATTTTTTGAGTAAAAAGTGAGCTTTAAAAGCCTTTAATTTTATTTTAATATAACTTATTCCATACAATAATTGGTTTTTAGTACTTACTACAGCGGTTATTATATAAACAAATTTAGTGAATTTCGTTAGCTATATGACATATAAGCACAGCGCAACTACATACATATGTTAATTGTAAAGCAGTAATACCTTGTTTGCAATAATTTAACTATCTTCACCCGTTGTTAAAAGTTTTAAAGCTTTTTGCAAATTATCAATAGCTGTTTTTACATCATCAAAATTGAGAGCAGTGCCAGCATATTTCGTGTATTTTTGCGCTTTCATTATTTGTTCTGGTGTTAATTGCAAATCGGCAACGGGTGTTGGTGGTATGTATATTCGATTTGGTTGCGCTTGCGGTACATAAGGCTCGAAACCACCAGGTTTCTCTTCATCGACTGGTGGACTTGGTAACTTGTTTGGATTATTCAGCACCTCATCAACGGTAGGTGGAGGGCTTTGCGGTGGTGAAGGATCTGGTATCGGGGCTGGACCAACTTCTTCCTCTGCTGGTGGATCTTGTGGTACAGCAGTGATTTCAGGATCACCTTCACCATCAGCTGAACCACTACCTTCACCAGTTCCACTTATGGCTCCACTTTCTGCTGCGAACTCATCATCACCATCTGGCATTGGTCCGGGTATGGGCGTCTCGCCATTTCTGAGGCAATTGTGTATGTACGCTGCCTTCCATTTGGCATATTTCCGATTGTGTATAGATTCTTCGGAGAGTTCACCAAATGTTTGGAGTACATCGTAGATGACACCACTGGAGTAGAATGCTTTTACCACATTTCTATAAAAGTAATATTGAATTGAATAAAGCTTTGTTTAAAAATCGTCTTAAATATATTACTGCACTGGCGGTACTCACTTGCCGAAATTTGAGTCACGGTCTTGTTTGTCAGCATAAAGGAATAGTTTTAAAGCATAATTTTCTAAATGTGCCTGTGCCGCTACCTCGTTAGTAATTGCTTCATTTTCCGTTTGCTGCTTCTTCGTATTTTCCAACCAATCCATTATTGCTAGAATCAAAACAAAAGTGAGTCACTTTTACTTCAATATTTGATATCCTCTACACCCCTTGCACAAAAATTACGCACCCAATAGTAATTTGGTCTCATCTGGTTGCTGCTTTGATATTTTTAATCCAATTTGTAGAGCGTAGAGCCGCGCCCAATATGCCACAACAATATCACGTGAATCATGCTCTTGCGCGATCTTCAGGAAATGCTGGATTTGTTTTAAAGATGCTGGACACGGTGGAAACTCCATAATTTTTGTAGTTCTTAATTGCAATAATCGAATTGGACAAAACAAATGCAGCAGCTATGAAAACAGCTCAGAGAACGTTCTCTGACAGCTGTCAATAAAGCGACATCTATAGGTGAAAAACATAATATGAAAATAATAAGTTGCCGCGTATATCACAGCAGTCACAATTTTGTATAGTTAATATTTTAAATTACTTTTAACATATAAATTACATCAAATATTAGATATTTACTATTTATATATATAATATGCTTTCAACAACATTGTTATGATAATTTCCTTACCTGGGATATAAGCCCATGAGCCACACTACTATTGTAACACACATTGCTTACTTCGGCCATATTGGACCAAGGCTTCTGAGTACATAGGGTCTACGTACGTATGTATTTTCAAATAACAAACCAGCTATTGAAAAACCGTATCTACTTACCAATATAATGTTTGCCCTACTATCTAGGTACTGTTAATATCTCACGTTGTTTATAAACTTCCCACTAAAAGTTCTCATATAAATCAAGTAAACAATTTTTTTTGTAGTAGAAATATATGTAAAGAACAATGAAAAATCTCACAATAACACTTTTATTTTCTTTATTAATGATCAAGTAGAAGCGAATTATAAAATTTCAAATGGACAAAAACTTTGCGAAGATATCGTATTCGAAGTGTGACATCGTCGGTTTATAAGATGTAAACATGATATATTATTATAGTTGTATATACTATATATATATATTATAGAATGTACTACGTATATATTTTATATTGAGTGGATGTAAACATTTTGCTGCATTAATAATTTAAATACATTTATAGGTACAAAACAATTTACACATTGGTATGTTTTTCGAAAATTTGGAATGATTATTAGGTATTTACTTGTATATTTGTACAATATTGTTTTTAAGGCACTATTTGTTGATACATATATACAAAAAAGGCTGTATATGTCAATTTTTACTTTGTGCGCCTCCAATGCTTTAACAATTTTGGGTTGCAACATATTAAATCATGATTTGTGCTTATTCAACCGTCTACTTACTATATGTCTATATTTAATTATATGCCTATGAATAGGTTGTGCGAACACAAAAAAAAGAAATGAAAGTTTATGCAATTTTTGTAGCAGAACGACGCACACAATTCGCGTATACTTCTTAATTACTTCATTCCTAGATACATATACTACATTTAAGAATTTTTACTTAAGGCACATGTTTATTTAATATTCGTGGACGTTAATAGAGAGATATGTATTATTCTAACACTAATGCATGTGTTTTCATATTACAATTGGCTCTAATGTGAGTTTCCAAATTATGATTGTGCAAATACACATAATCAGTACAAATGGCTAACGCTATTTTCGTTTTTTATTTTAAAATTACATATGCAAGTTGAGATTCTAGTTAAAATTCGTTGTTGGACACAAATGCAAAAGTTTTTCTTCTTTAAGGCAGTCTTAAGTGAATATAAATATACTGCAAGTTAATATGTACGTAAATGCATGTCATAAGTACCAATTGCGTTTTTGGCCATTTGTGCTGAATTATGAGAACTTTTTATAACGATACGATTTAACCTTGTGTGAATTGCATAAACTTACGACTATTATTTCGCGTTTTATAGCTCCGAGCTCTTCAAAAAAGCTGCAGTTATATATGTAAACAACTTTTTAACTTAGAACTGGTCGTTATTTCCTTTAAATGGACGGAATTTAGGCACATGTATTGCTGCATGCTTAGATTTCGTGATTAAATAATATAGAATGTTTGAAGTCGTGGTTTTTTTATCCTTAAAATACTTCTTTCGTAAAACTTGTAGAACCTGGTTGCATTTTTCCGCGCAATCGTTTTCTTTCGCTACTGCTCCTATGCATAAGCAAACTAAGTTCCTCTGTCGAAAGATGACTCCACCACTAGGCCTTGCCTTGTACTAACTCAAAACGTGTTTGAGATTCTTTGAATTGTTTGCGCTTTTTCGCTTGTACGTTTTGTTCAGTAAGGAATAGAATTCCTGTCACTAAGGAAAATACTGTTCCAACGCACGCTAACACAAATGACCAACCGAACCAATTGTTGGCGTGCTCCGGCATCCAGCCATTACGATTGCCAAAACAAGCAAAAACAATAACAGCAATAGCTGCACTCACACCTGTGCCCAACATTACATACCCTATTAACTTTATAAGAGTTACAAAGTGTTTTTGGTCCGGCCCAGCGCAGAGGAAGAATACCAAGACGCCAACGCATGATACTAGCGCTCCAATAAATGCAAGTGTGTAGAAAAATTGTGTTGCAATCATGAATGCAGGCAGTAAAAATCCACGAATCTCATCGTAGCCCGTTGTGAAGGGGTCATACACCCAGCGACAGCCGACGAAGAAGCGGCGTTGACTATCGTCATTCACATCCGGTAGTGATCGAAAACAATGTACCCATAATCCTAGACGATTCAGTTTAGCACCAGTTATCCGGTCATCACTTGCCAGCCAATTGGGTGTGGCGAATGAGATGACAATCGCAACGAATGCAATCACAAACACACCAACGCCACAGGTGCCTGCCAATGTACGACGCTTCATTGATGGTACAACTACTTTGTAGTGTGTGGTCGGCAATTGTTCTTGTGAGTCCTGGCGTGCGATATGCGAAGATTTTTGCATGCTTTAGCTTGCAAACCGAAAAATTGTTTTGATTAATGCACTGTTGGTATTTTCTATTTGGGAGTGGTGGATTGTGTTGCTACCAATTGGCAGGTGTCAGAAAGCATTTATATGGTTGCATTTGCTTACAGAGTTGCTTTGCACAAACATAACAATTAATTTTTTAATTATAAATAAATAAATAATTATTTAATAATTAATTTATTGAGTTTGTCGAAATACCACTCAAAAATTTTAGTAACAAATATGTTTTAAATTTTTGAAGTAAATTATAAAATTTTATTTATATGAATTAATTTCCGTTTCTTGAAGTTAGCATTCAACCTGTCTGAAAGGTGTGTGTATTCGCTAAAAAGCAACTATTTAAAATTTTCTTAGCTAATATAGTTTTACAAGCACTTTTAACAAAGATATTTCCTGAGGTTAGTATTATGTTTAAAATATTTGTTTTAAGTTTCACAGTTCGTCATTAGTTATGATCAACGTTGATGTCATTATAGAAGTTTTAATGGCCGAAGCGAAAGGGTTTGTGTAACACACATAACGGTATACATATATGAGGATGTTGTGTCTTCTATTTCCGCCTGTTGCCAAAAAATAGAGTTATGAATAATAAATTTTTAAATTGAAAATTTATTTCTCATAGAAAAACTTTGAAGTTGGAGGAGCGTTTATTAATCCAGTAGCTGAACAGCTTCAATATTTTTAAAATTTAATTTCATAATATTTTTTTTTAAGTGCATAAACGTTTTTTTTCAAAGGTTTATAACCGGATGTTAATTTATTTGTTCGAGACACAAAAATGATTTAATGAACTTGCGAGTGTCGATGAAGTTGTTGTCGAGAACGCCCTCGTAGAGTTTGATTCCGACAGCATGTTAAAAGTAATACCGATAGCTCTCTAATAAGTAATTTTTGTAGATACAGAATTGAAATATTGACCACATTCATAATTCATCTTACTTAATTTGAGGTTTTGAGGCTAAATAATATTGATTAATTACGGAATTTGTCGCGAAGCGTGCTAAAATAACTTGATGCTTGTTTTATTATACTTCCTTGAGCTACTAAATAGCCATATGTATGTATATGTGTCCATTTAATATTTAAAATGTACAAATTACAAACAAAATGACTTGTCTCATGTCCAGCTTACTGATCATTGCCGCAGCAGCTAGAGTGATGCTGATCTTGTTTCTTATTAGCTAATCGTAACATGTCTGAAATGGCTCACACTGCTACCGCTCCTTCGTTACCATGCTGCCTATTTTAATACGTTGCTGCGGGTGGCTTACTAGTTAAGCTTTATGCCGGGCGTACAACACATCTTTTTCGGACTAACGTCAATTTTAAAATTTATGTTCTTCGCACCTGTTGTTTTGGATATTTGTGCGGAGATTAGTCAACAAATTCAACCAATTAGAATACTAAGTTGACTTTGATGAATGATACAGCTTCAATTATGAATAAGTGACGCGCTTGTGAAGCTAGAAATAATTTGAGTAAGTCTTTACACATACATATATGTATTTATTTACATACATATGTTATTGTTGTAATTGAATAAAAAGTGGGGTTATGTCCCCTTGAGAATCTTTATATGTTCATGCATTGGGCTGAGCAACAACTTGAAAATGATCCTGATTTTCATCAAAAAATCATTTTTAGCGATGAGACTCATTTCTAGCTGAATCGCTACCGCTCAATGATATCCGAATATATTTGGCCCGAATTGGATGATGTGGACTTGGACACTATATGGTTCCAACAGAACGGCACCAACAGCCACACAGCGAATATCGCAATCGATTTATTGAAAAGCAAGATCGGTGAACGCAATATCTCATGAAATGGCCCAGTCAATTGACCGCCTCAGTTGTGTGATTTGACGCCGTTAGACTATTTCCTGTGGGACTACGTCAAGTTTGTGGTCTATGCCAACAAGGCGGCAGCAACGATTGATGAACTTCGTACAGATATCGAAAGTGAAATTGCAGCAGTATCAGCCATCTGGTCTTCTGCAAGCTTACCTGTGATCGCCACGCAAAAGAAACCGAGTTCCACACATGAACTTTCACAAGACTAAATAATTTCATTGATACCACAAATCGTTTTTTTTTTATTAAAAAGAAAAAACTTTTGTAACGAAACTCTGTTTTTAGAGTAGGTAAGGAAAATTTCTCCAAAACGTTTATACCGGTCGACTTGAACTTTTCATACCACTTTCCCAGATATATTTGTCATGTAATGATTAACAGAGTAATATATTTGATATTTTATCCAGATGATTGAACATTGTGTTTGGAGGTTTTTTTGGATGACGGCTACAAGATCAAGGGAATTAACAATTTTTCAAAAGTAATCGTATAGAATTTATGTATTAAATAATATTATTCTTCAAGAAACATTTATAAAATCGCGCTTTTCTAACTCTGGATAAATAAACCATTAGTCCAAGTGATACCTTGAGTCTGGCAGTTTTGTGCTAACACGATGTTTTCACAGATCACGCGATTCTTAAAGAAAGTTTTCTCATACAGTATGGTACCCAAAATACTACTAATACTGGCTGAGAAACGTTAAATAGATCAGCCCAGGTTAGGCTTGTTCATTTGTCACTTAATCATATTTAAAAAAAAAAAAAGACAGCCGTTTATAAAAACAATTTAAACGCTTAAAATTAATTTTTCTTTCTCGAATTTCTCGAAATCCGCACAGTGTAATGTGCTATATGACTTCATTTGTGTTTTTATTTTTAGTTTATTTAGATTTACAGTAACCACATTCTATCTACGTGAGTGCTAAGTGGTCTTGTTCATTCGCTTTCATCTTTTGTGCGAAACAATAGGCTCGAAACTAGTCGCTATGTAAATTTCTATTCCATTTTAAATCGAATGGAATTTTTTTTAAGTTTTCAGACCACTTTTATGGGTAACTAAAATTGAACTATAAATAAATGTCACGAAAGAAGTGAAAAAAGTCATCAAAACAAAGGAAAGCAAACAGAGCAAAGTTGAGCGTCATTTGAACTTCAAATATCGTGTAAATGTGCGAGCATTGAACCTGATATTTTATTGACCTTGAGATTTTGAAATTTCATACTTTTTTTTGCCGAAAATAGGTGTACGTGAGCAAATCGCGTATTTTAGATTATTAATAGGACGTCTCATATCTAGAACAACATCGATATTTGTCCGTGGCATGGATGCAGAGCATAACATGACGGGTTTAAATATGCGAAAATCCTTAAACCCGTATCCATTATTTATGTTGAAATTTAGTTAAAATTGTAACGAAACTTTACCAAAAATAGTTATTGAATACATACCAATGACCTTTCTTCAATTATTTATATTTTTTTGGTGCATAAGAGTGCCATTAGTTATTAAAGTTTAGGCTAAGAAACCAATCAAAACAAGTAAGGAAGGGCTAAGCAATCGAACATTTTATAATCTACGCTACATAAGATTTCGCGAAATTATGTATATTTTAGTCATTCCTTTTTCGAAAGATTTTTTTTTGACAGATCACGAATTGTATCAAGCTGTTATGTTATTTTCGATATTAGTTGGCATTCATCATAGAAATGCTTACTTTTGTTTTACAAATCACATTCTGTATAGAATGTGTTTCTCGCCCTTCGCTCAACTTATGATCAACATAATAGGCTTCCTGAACATACTATTCGCAACACCATTACCCATCTTGAGATCCAGCATTCATTATTCGATACCGAATAGGCCACGTCCAGCACCCAGTGAAAAAAATATAGCAGCCGTAGCTGAGAGTGCACTCGAAAACCGTAGGGAGTCGATTCGGCGCCGATCGCAGAAACTCGGACTAAAGTATAATATAAAATGAAAGCATACAAAATACAGCTTGAGCAAGAACAGAAGTCGCTCGACCTGTCTCTTGAAAAATTCCAAGAAGATCCGACGTGAGACAAATTTTGTTCAGCGATGAGACCCATTTCTGGCTCAATATGTATGTAAACAAGCAAAGTTGCCACATTTGAGATGGAGAATAACTTGAAGAGATTGAAGAGCGGCCATTTCATCCAGAGAAAAAAGAGTTATGTGTGGTTTTTGAGTCAGGTGAATGGTGATCAGTCTATATTTTTATCAAAAATGATGCCGGTGAGAACATAACATGATAACCGACTATTTGATGCCTGCGATGGGAGCTCGTGTTCTCGGCGTCATTTGGTTTCAACAAGAACCGGCGCCACCACTTTCCACATAGCATCAATTAATAGATTTAGTGAGAGAACACTTCGATGAGCAGATTTGGTGGTGATTGGCCACCAATATCGTGAGATACCATGTCGTTAGACTTTTCCTGTGCACATACGTAAAGCCTAAAGTCTATGCGGACAATGCCGCTTCGATTCAGGCCATGGATCAAATCATTACGCATGTCACTCGCCAGTTACCAGTCGAAATACTCGAACGAGTCATTGAAAATTGGACTTAACGGATGGACCATCTAAAACGTAGTCACAGTCAACATTTCAAAGAGATGACCTTCAAAAAATATATGCCAAAGAATGTTAATAAATATTATAATTTGAAGTTTCTGTGTTTTTTCTTTAATAAAGCAATTTGTCAGAGACACAATTAGTTATTGATTTTTGCGTAGTTTTTTTTAGTAGTTTTTAACAGTACCGTTATGTGGGAAGTGGCGAGAGTTATATTCCGATTTCATTTATTTTTACATTCTCATAGGAATTAAGGGCGGTGCCATGCCAACTTTTTCAAGTTTTCAGCCAACAATGGCCACTTTCCACTGCAACCTTCTGTGTTGAATTACAGTTCCATCAACCTACGGATGGGCAGACAGACAGTCACCCAGATTTTAACTCGTCTCAAGCATTGCGGTATGTAACTACAACTACGACCAAGCTCATCACATTTTACCACGTTTTCAAGCATTTCCAACGTAAAGGAATCATCTTTGCTACCATCAGCTAATATCGTAAATCTTTTTGAGCTGATAGGTATGAAGTATATTTAGGCTGTGTCGATGCGTTAGAGTTAAAGATGCGGAACGAGACAGAACCTGTCAAAATTTCAGGCGAATTGAAACA